TGATGATATTGTCCGTAATTTGAAATGTAGTCTTATAATCTTGTTTGCTTATGGAAATACGCTTTTATTTCCCTGAAATCACAATCTGGCAGCCGATTTTGAACCTTAAAATAACTAAGTTGTTTTATTTTGTGCTTTCAAAACATCGAGCAATAAAACTCGGTCGATTAGCTATCGAATATGATATTAAGACTGAATATTCTAATCAATGGAAAGCGTTTATAAGCATTATTCACAGTTGTTTCTATTAAGACAAAAAAAATTACATGATTATACTTCTTGCTGAGCGAAATGGCAAACTTGCCGTAACTTCTGTCCTTTCTCCATATATAGTTTAATATTAAAGGTTGTTGACAAATGTTCGCAAGACCTAATAAGAATTCTGTCAATCTTGCTCGTTAAGTAGCAGGGACGTTTATTATTTTAACATAGCACCACTAGGTATTCCTATTGTCTACAGTCACCGTCTTTAATCTATTCTATCGGGGTTGAGCGTGATTAGATTCTGCTGATACCCGCTAACGTATGCGAGTGAAGTCGCTGAGATTATCATGTTGACTGTGAACTACTTAAGCTTCGACCAAACCAACGCGTACAGCTCGCGTGCGCGATGGCGATCAAAATCAAAATCAAAAATATTTTATTCAATTTAGACCACTAAGTGGCACTTATTAACGTCAAAATATAGTAAATAAAAAAAAAGGTAGCCCTTATCTTTTGGGTCCTACCAGCGCTTCCAGATAAACATATGGCAAGTGCTGAGAAGAAACGCCATCGGAGGAACAAACCACTAATTGCCAGTAATTATCTAACGGTAAGAATAACCGAATTCAAGTAGGTACATCAAATAAATGTGCAGACTGAACTGACCACGCATCCTTGTCATCAAATAGTTTCGATCAGATGTCGTGTATGAATTTGTAGCGATGAGCTCACATTCACATTCAACGCGTCCGCCCGCGTTCTGTCATTGGTCGCGACGATCTATGCACGCGCAGTGATCGCCACCGCTATCGCCGACGCGATCTGCACGCGTTGGTTTGATTAATCTATTACAAATACAAAAGATGTAGTGTTTCATTTGATTTATTACCAACGTTTCATGTTAGTAGCCCTATTGTCTGAAGATGAATCGCTTTGTCTCAAAACTAATAAGAGTAGCAAGAAGCAACTTGTATAAGTCACTCCATCACATGTTCTATTTAGCCATTAGGTAAAAATACATAATACGTCATATATTCAAACAGAACATGACTTTTTTTAGCAGAGCATACAGGCCGCTACTACCAACCGTGCAATGTGGAAGTCATTAGGGGAGGCTTATGTTCAGCAGTGGACGTCCTGTGGCTGAAATGAATGCTTTAGAACAGCGAATTTATAAACTTATCATTGTCATTAATTCATGACATGTAAGTAAATAATTGTATTATATTCGTGTTAAAATTATGAACTATAAAGTATTTTTATAATTAATTTTAAACAAATTAGCTCCTAATTGGTTTACAAGCAAAAAACAGCATTGTAGAAAAAGTCTTCCTGAAATTTTCAGTTGTTTATTTTCGACGGCTGTTTCTGCGAAACCGTTTTTTATTTCGTAATAATTACTCGGGGATAAGAAACGGATCGTTGTCTTCACCTTAATTTCTTTTTGGTTTCTTACTGAATACCTAATACCGTGCGTCCGTGCCCCCGCCAAGACGAGCCAAACGAAGCGCAATGGCACTACCTAAGAGCCAAAGCGCACAATGCGTTGCGGCCGCGATGCGACGCCGGAGCGGTGTTACTTCGTCGTGTAAGGTTCGGCCAAACCAACGCGATCAGCCTTGCGTACGCGAAGCGATGTCGATCAATGCGTTTAAGTCTGATCGCCATCGCCATCGCCATCGTGTAGGCCGGCTACGCATGCTTTGGTTTGACCGAGCTTTCATAGAAAAAACGCTATGCTCTAACCGTGGCGCGCACACAAGTGGTTAAGCGCCGCAATGCTTCGTGTGCTTTGGCTCTTACTTTTCACGAAAGCTTCGTCGTTTTTCAATCCTCACATAGGGTTTTGGATTATTGGCAATTTCGCTACCGTCACATGGGCGTAAGGTTAAAAAATATTGCCTGTTCATAACTTTTCTATTATTAGGTACAATACTTACTCGTAGTTATTGTAGTAACGAAAATTAGAATAAGATATAAGCGAAAGCCACATATTTTAACCAAGGCGTGAATTTGTAAAGTCAGAGCTTGTAGAGTTAGTAGCTTGGCTCTACCTGAGATCTGATTACTTTTTGTCAGTGCTAGCCAAGAACCTGAACTGTATTGTACCATTCGCAAGAACGTTACATTACATAGAAATGCTCTAGTCTATACTTACTTTTAAGGGAGAGTTAGGTACTTCCAGCAGTGGACTGCCTAACTACGACGTGTTGTGTAGCTTCAGTAAATAAAGCACTCTAATAAGCTAGATGCAAGTTTATAAATTGCTTTAAAACACGCTTCAATTAATTTTGGCTCGTAAAAGACGGGATTTAAAAAGCAGCCAAACGTCAATAAGGGAGAGCACCCGGCTGTTAAGTTCGAGTGTTCTTGTAGAAAATTATGGCTCGGGGAAATTATTGCAAAGCGGGGAAATCGAGAGAGCTAGGGATGCAATTAAATACGTAATCGATTTTATTTAATGTTTGATCAATTTGTCTGTCTGGCACTCAAGTCGTTGCTTTAGCATATAGAGCAGGAGTTTTCGCCGTTTGTATTTGGTTGAAATCGATTACTGTAAAGACGTCGAATAGTTAGTCGTAAAAGTGTCGTTTTATAAATTAGTCAAACATGTTAAAATATTTGCAATTTGTTTGCCGAAATTCGATCCTGACACTACCCTATTCTAGTCCTACTCATGTCACAAGTACGTAAAACGAATTCTGTCGTTGCCATTTTTCCATGGATAAAATCGATATTCCAAAATCCGATTTATCTGAGCACATTAGGCGCGTCACTATGCGGACCGATGCGGGCCCTGCCACCGGCTGCGGAAATAGGAAAGCTCGGTAATCTTTCCATTTCACTGCTCTCCTGTTTACGGGACGCGCTCTTGAAATTTTATCAAATGTTAAGCACATCGGAAATGAAAACCTTCTTCGTATTTTATCAGGTTAAATAAGGTTTCGCTTCAACCGCACTTTTTCTTTCGTATACCACGATATTACTGGCAGAATAGAAAAAAAACAAATATTTTTATTTTTTCATTATAAACCGCCATGCGCTATGGAGTTTAAATATACTGGCAGGTAATAAACTTGCACGTTACGCCTTTAAAAATATTAACGTCAAAACTAAAACGCGCGAAAGTTATCACAATGTTTTCTAAATTCTCAACCAAAGTTACTTACGTAGTTTTTTTTGGTATTTATTACTTAGTCAAACTTTATTAAACCTAATCATGTTTTGCCTTTAAATTCAAATAATTTACGCCTTATACCTTATTATACCTTGACAATAAATGAATTGATATGATATAAAACTCTATTGCAACGACATAATAATAACATAAATATTGTAAGTATACTTCCATCCCCTAAACTGTTAAGTATTTCAATTTTCTATCAACCGAAATATTTCAGCAGTAACTTGTACGTCTTTGGTATTATGCATATTAAAACTTCATAGATATAGAAACTGCTATCCGATTAGGTGGTAATAAATGTATTATTATCTTGGCAGATATAATAACATTTAGGTTTATCAGATTATTAATCTCACAATAATCATATAGGAAAATTCAGTCCGGTGTGGAGTCGGCCATAGGCCGGTACTCGATTTTTTTATTTATTTTCCTGGGGTAAGTACATAGGTTATTTTTGGTATATAAATAAATTAATTATTTATGTATGTTAATAAAGTGAATTAGTGCAGTGATTAAAATACTTACTTCAAACTGTTGATTTGTTGAAGCTATTTATCATTTTCTATGAAAATGTTCAAAATTGATACCCAAAAATTAAACAGTAACTAACCTACTTTCACTGGTCCAGCCGATTGGGAACCAGTTTATTACGAAAAGTTTTATCATACCGTTATAAATGACAGTAAAAATTTTCCGCGATAACTCTTTACTATTTTTTTTTAAACCGCTGTTGCGTTTTACTGAACTATTTAAGGTACCAGGAATTACATAAATATTTACTAGGTACCATACCTTAGGTAAATCATCAAGTGACCGTATTTATAGTGTATTTTAATTCAATTTCAGTAGATTATTTTATTTTTCGAACCATTGCCGATTCATTTACAAAAATTCTACGGCAATAATGATATAGTAATTATTTTATTGTCACACATTTTTTACAGATAACTTGCGTTTTGATAAGATATCGAGCAATAATTATGCAGATTAAAATTATTGTATCTATTATCGAACTGATATCAGTTGAACTCCCAAATAAAGTGCCTACTCGTTGAATTCTGAGTTGACCTCGATTTTGTTGGTAAAAACAGTTTTCATGGTTCATCATCATCATTAACATCACATCAGCCATAGGTCATCCACTGCTGAACATAGGCCTCCCCCGATGACTTCCAGATTGACCGGCTGGTAGCGGTTTTCATGGTTATAATACTTTAATGTAGGTGCTTTTCTTTTATAGTCACCAACTAGTATCTTAAGAAGTCATTAAAGTGTAAAAAAAAGATTAGTTATTAAGCCTAAACGATATTTATTTTGCGCCTGAAGTTTTTGTCGTACAATCAACGTCAATCGCGTTGAATTCAGAGATTGCAAACCCCTTTGCAAGTGCCCTTTTAGGCACCCACTGGGCCCGTGTTAGCGACAAATGCAACTGGGCCCGGCCGGTTTGGAAAACATACCGGGTTACAATCTCTAGCAGGAATTTCCGGGCCCAGTGGGTGCTTAAAAGGGCACCTGGCCCGGGCTGGCCCGGTTTGAAATCTCTAGTTGAATTCTCAAATAATGCAACGCGAAAGTTTGATTAAAAGTAATTATGAATACTTTGTTTCAGGTGATAGACAAAAGTCATCATGGCTCAGGATAATAGTAACTCTACGATGGAGATGGGCACCAGTGACCAGGTAAGGTATTCTATGTTACACCTTTGTTAGCAGCCAAGTGTTAATTTAGCTATTGCATTAGGGTTCAGATACTTCCTTCTACATATTATCTATGCTCTAGGCTTTTTTCGAATTTTTTTATGGGACAAGAGGCAAACGAGCAGACGGATCATCTGTAGGTAAATGATTACCGTCACCTATAGACAGACACTGGTAGGCCCGGTGGCGTTACAGGTGCGTTGCCGGCCTTTGAGAAGTAAAATATACGCTGCTCTCTTCTTGAAAGATTGTAGGTCGTATCGGTCCGGAAATACCGCAGATGACAGTTCATTCCACAGTACAAAGAAAAGTAGTCTATGTGCTTTGATTTAGTTGCGGATGACAAAAATATAAGGAAATACTTTTAAGTCTCTCTATCAGTGTAAAAGTCAGCAAAATTAAATTTTCATTTATACGTAAATTCCCACTTGTTTACGTATTCGATTGAATGAGAATTAAATAATACTTACATACCTATCTATATTTTATCTATAAAAGCGAAAGGTCATTGATTAACTGACTGACTAACTCACTGACTCATCACGAAATCTCAGAAACTACAAGTGCTAGGAGTCTCAAATTTTCAATGGGGGTTCCTTTTAGAACGTAGGTGCTCACTAAGACGGGATTTTGTAAAATTCAACCCTAACGGGGTAAAACTGGGTCCACGCGTACGAAGTCGCGGGCGGCCGCTAGTAAAAATATTTAGTAACACTAACAAACTTTGTAATGTCTCTTAAAATGGAATTTAAAGACATACTGCGTATGATATTCACTTGCTTCCGATATTATTGTCTTGTCGTGGTGTCACTAAAAATAATAAAATAATATGAGGTGTCTTTTGTTTTAGTTTTCATTTTTCCGAGTAGTACATATGACATGACAATGAAATATGGAATACGAAAACAAATGACAGTGCGAGTATCTTCAAACAATACCTAATACATAAATTTATGTCTCAAGTAACGTATCATAGTTATCGAATCAGGTAAATAGAGTTTTATTCAAGGAAAAAGAAAATGGCTTGTTTTACATAATGATAAGTGAGTATTAAGTAGATATTATTATATTGGTTTAAAACATATTATACTTTGTACTACTTGTGTATAGTCCGCGCCATTAGAGACTGGCAATAAAAAGAAAATATTCTTTATTTGTTTTGACCTATAAGATATACCTATCAGTAAAGTTCAAAATAGTGGCATTAATTCTGCCACCACTAGGTAAAGGCTTAAACCGTTCACAAATGTAACGGCTACCTTTGCCGAATATTAAAATTGGCCTTGAACACTTTTTGTTTTTTTTTGTTTATAAGTCCACGCTTGTTAGCTCTACTGTTTAATCAAGTCCTTATTAACTGTGGAATAAAGTTTAAAATAAATTGAGCATTGTTACTCTTACGAGGTCTTTAATATTCGAAGTATTTATTAAATCGTATCCGAGGAAAAATAACAGTTTCGGACTAAAAGGTCCAGAGTTATGTTGCCATCAGATTTGGCTTTGATATTGGCCAAAAATACGGATTTTACACTACAAAGTCAATTATTGTGAGTACAAAAACATAGTTTTTAGAGGGAAATGTAATAATTTTATTAAACAAACCACTAGTTATCACTTAGATCACAACAGAAAAGTGAAACTAATATTCTAACCAGAGCACTCGTGTCAATAACTTGATAATGTTATCGGAGTTTGATAACCCTGAATTACTCGTACTCGAGAAAAAATCCTAATCAGAAGAAAACGGGATTCACCGATGATACTGGATTCACTTAGCGAGTATTGTTCCTGGCGGTCGGACTTGTGAATGATGGATTAAGTGAAAAGGAGAGTGCTGTGAAGTGTTGGAGTGAAAACGGTGTGAGTGAATGAATTTAGGATTTAGAAAAATAAACGCGGTGGATCAGAACCTTAATTTGGATGGAATTGATACCTAATGTAGAGGGTAAAGTTGTGAATTTTGTATGTTTGGAAATAATTTGTTTTTGAGCTTGGATGTGAAGAACTAATAGGTAATGTTTAATATCATTAAGGTTGAATTAGATTATCGACAGAATTCGATAAATTATCCTAAAAAGTCGAACATTCTGTTAGCGTTTTAACAAAAAAAAAGTAAAATAACTGGTATTTGAGATATGTGGGTAACATAAAACAAGGAAGTAACTTCGTTAATTAGTAATTACTCACAGGAATATTCATTTGCGTAAGTATACCTCATAATGTTAATTGAAGTGTAACGCTTTGGAACGCGATTTTATATTACGGACGTAGTTATTTACCAAAAAATGCGATTAAGTTCCGACATACTAGTTCATGCATGCAAATAACGCTATAATTTTAAATAGTTATTTGAATCATCAAATAACTGCACCGATCAAAATATTATTTATGAATTATTTTATCACTGGTCAATCGGCGTGTCATTGATTTTGAGTATGTTATCTACTGAACTATTTTAGAGTTAAGAGGTTTGCTTTGATATCAATTCGTAACTTTAGAGTGGGTATAGTAAGTTAATTTTATTCTAAAACTATTCTTTCATTTGATGATTTGTAAGAAAATACAGTATAAAAAGTATCCTTGCAAATGTCTTATATTTGATCATCTCTACCTCTCAGAAAACTTTAGAAATTATAAACTCATCGTTACTTTGGAATTTTGAACGCAAGTTTAATTGGCTGTTTCGATCTTGTTGGAATTGCGATTATCTTTCAAAATTACTTACGTGTGACAACCAGAGTTGTGAAGAAGAGAGTAATCGAATGTAGCGCATAGTTTTTATTTAGTAACAATAGAGTTCATAAAAGGTTTTAAACTACATATTATGTTGCATTTTTACTATAAAATTATCACTTCACGGGATTTATTGCAACAATGTCTATTTTAACGGTAAATAAAATAGATAAAATAGATATTGTTGCAATAAATCCCGTGAAGTGATAATTTCATAAAAGGTTATTATGAAGTCTGACTCTGATGATCGCAAAAGTAATTTGTAATATTTTTTCCATCCTCCAGATCATTAACTAAGTAGGTATTTCGCCTAGTTTGCAAATGATAACTACATACCTAGATAACAGATAAACATGCTTAAACGTATAATAATTGTCATTCATTACACCAAAATTTGCCCCTAGTGAGATTCAAATCCGTATCCACAACTGGCGTAATCCGATTTGTGAACAACGAGGCCAGATTTATTGACTTATTTATTTAAAACTAGCTTTCCGCCCGCGGCTTCGCCCGCGTGGAATTTTGTCTGTCACAGAAAAACTTTATCGCGCGCGTCCCTGTTTCAAAAACCGGAATAAAAACTATCCTATGTTCTTTCCCGGGACTCAAACTATCTCTATGCCAAATTTCATCAAAATCGGTTGCGAGGTTTAAGCGGGAAAGCGTAACAGACAGACAGACAGACAGACAGACAGACAGAGTTACTTTCGCATTTATAATATTAGTTGGGATTTACTGCCATATTTGATGCAGAAGGCGAACTTTTTGCTAGTTAACCTTCGGACTAAACCGAAAAGAATCGTTCGGCGTGCCTGGATTGGCATTCAGGGCCGAACCATAAGTTTAGGGGGCCCTGGGCTAGTTCTGCTTAGGGCCACCTACTATACTTTTTCACATTATCGTCTATTTTTGATTGACTTGACTTAGCTGGGGGCCCGTTGAATCCATGGGGCCTGGGCTGAAGCCCAAAAAGCCATATGGTGGATCTGACCCTGTTGATATTGGCCCAGGTCGTCCAGATAAAATTCTAAATTATTTAAAATTAATATTTCAGGTCCTGGTAGCGAGTAAGAGGAAGAAGACTCTGACGTACGTGATCGGCGGCGTAGCCATGGTGGTTGTCATAGGAGTCGTCATAGCGCTGGTGGTCGTCCTCTCCGGCAACGAAGGAGGCACGGCTGAGGCTATTGTTTCTACTACGCAAGGTAAATAAAATATTTGATTCGTTAAATGTTCATGTCTTATGTCCAGAACGTCTTTTAAGGTATTTCAAACTAGAAATAATAAAGGCATGGTAATGCTTCATTATTATAATGCAGCTAGTATCGTAACTTATTCTCAGCAACAGTGGATGTTGTCCGGAAGTGGTGGTAGGACTAGCTATTGGGGCTTGTATAAATTATGTTAGAAGGGCCTTATGACTTATGTAATAAATAATTTTCTTCGAGCACACTGTAGTTTTGTAAAATAAGTATTAGTGGTAAATCGATCGTTTGCTATCAATGACAAGAATAATTTATAATTTTGAGACATCTAAAATTGAGGTACTTATAGCTTTCTCATGGGTCTGTACAATAGCTCCCAAAATCAAATTGATAAGTCCCATGTTAATATTTTGCTTTTGTCTTCAGGTCCAACGACAGTATCAACGGTATCAACTATAGCGACTGAAACACCGTCAACGGAGTCCACGCCTATTGTGAATCCTCCAACGTCCACCACGACGACTACCACGACAACGACTGAAGCCCCGACCACGACGCCCGAACCAGAAGAAGATCTGCTCGACTTGCCGTCGATCATCAACGGCGCGTTTACGCCAGCCGGCTTCAGCGCTGTTTGGACGTCAGGTAAATATTGTCTGGATGTTCTTGGAGACAAAACTTAACAACAAGTCTCAAACATTCGGTTTGGTTGGTGGTAGGGCTTGTTCTAAGTTCGTCTGGCTAGCTACCACCATCTTACCTAAGTCTGTCGCCATAACAACAATGTTAACAGCATTGTTGTGTTCCGGAAGTTAGAGGTAAGATAGCCAGTTCCTCCGTGGTTGAGGATTCCGTGTGAAGCTCGCTTCCACCTTCGGCCTGATCATCACTTACCATCAGGTGAGATACAGACCAAGAGCTTCCTCGTTGTGGATAAAAATAACTCGCTTCTACCTTTGAACTGATCATCACTTACCGTCAGTTGAGATCCAGGCCAAGAGCTTCCTCGCTGAGGATAAAAAAAGTATCAGAGTTTTTAAATTAGAGGAGATACAGATTGACGTCTTAGTCATTCTCTTGGACCTCGCCAATCACCATTAACTCTTAGATATAAGACTTGAGTTTACCTGGTGGACCGACGCTAAGGGGAAGGTCGCGGCCGGCACCTGGATGCGAATAGCGTAGGAGAAATGTTATGTTATGCCCTAAGGCAGATAGAGTTAGTTCATCAGTCATAAAAAACTCATTGCATAAAACTCAAAACTTACGAGTATAGTAACTAGGTTTATTATGTATTATTATATATTATATTAGTGTCCAAGATGGCATCTAAAAATGAGGTCTAACATGGAGAGAGACGTATTTTTTTATATTAATACTGTAAAAAATTTGTTCTGAATCATGGTTTCCATGTTATTATACTAAAGTAAGTATATCGGATGATCTAGCATCGTATCTCGTTACTCATACTCGCGAAATTGCCGGCGCCAACGAAATTAACTCAATTAACGTGTCTATTGNTTTCAAAATATGCAGCTTAAATTGCTGTTTCTTTTGATTGCGTTGACATAGAAGTTTGATTTTGTTACAACTTAAAGGTATTATAGACCTGAGTATTTGGTATGAATTTCAATTTAATACCTCTACGCGTTTATGAGGAAATGGGTAGTAAATTTAAAAATATTTAAAAAAAATATATTATGTAATGTAACTAAAAATTTATGGTTTTCGTAATTTTTCCTTTATCTATGCTATAAGACGTTGCTTCGTACCAAATTTCAAGATTCTGAGTTCACGGGAAGCACCCTGTAGGTTTTGATTCCCTTGCAAGTGTCGAATATTTGCGGCATAAACGGCTGTATCATTTGATTGCGTTGGCTTAGAAGTTTGATTTTTTCACAGCTTCAAGGGACCGTAGACCTAAGTAATTGATATAAATTTCAGCTTCATACCTCCACGCGTCCCTGAGAAAAAGGGTCTTGACAGACGGACGGACGGACAACAAAGTGATCCTATAAGGGTTCCGTTTTTTCCTTTTGAGGTACGGAACCCTAAAAATGCGATTATGTTCCGACATACTAGTTCATGCATGCAAATAACGCTATAATTTGAAATAATGATTCAAATAATTGCACTGATCAAAATATTATTTCTGAATTGTTTTATCACTGGTCGATCGGCATGTCATTGATTTTGAGTAGTTATCTACTTACTGAACTATTTTAGAGTTAAGAGGTTTGCTTTGCTATCAATTCGTAACTTAAGAGTGGGTATAGTGGGTAAATTTTATTCTATTATTTATTATTAAACTAGCTTTCCGCCCGCGGCTTAGCCCGCTTGGAATTTTGACAGAAAAACAATATCGCGCGCGTATTTGCTCACCGTTTAGACCTACCCTGGACTACGACCAACATTTTAAAACCAAAATCAGCTCAATCGGCCCAGCTGTTCTCGAGTTTTAATCAGACTAACGAACATCAATTCATTTTGATTTATATACTTAATAGAAAATACAGTATAAAAAGTATCCTTGCAAATGTATTTTATCATCTCTACCTCTCAGAAAACTTTAGAAATTATAAACTCGTCGTTAGGTACTTTGAAATTTGAACGCAAGTTTAATTGGCTGTTTAGATCTTGTTGAAATTGCGATTATCTTTTAAGATTACTTACGAGTGACAAGGGCACCAGAGTTGTGAAGAAATATAGAGTAATCGAACGTAGTGCATAGTAACAATAGAGTTCATAAAAGGCTATTACGAAGTGTAACTCTGATGATCGCAATGTACCTACTCGTATTATTTGTAAAGATTTTTTTCCATCCTCCAGATCATTAACTAAGGCTGGTTGGCACCATCTTACTCGTCAAAAATCTGTCAAACTCCATATAAAAAACACCGGTTAACATGATAGGTACGGTCAAAGTTAGGTGGTGCAACTCACCCTAAGTATTTTGCCTAGTTTGTAAATGATAACTACATAGATAGCAGATACGTGCCTAAGCGTTTAATAATTATTGTAGTCATCACAACACCAAAATTTGTCCCCAGTAATATTCAAATCCGTATCCACAACTGTCGTAATCCGATTTGTGAACTAGGTACTAGGCCAGATTCATTGACTCATTTATTTTGACTTTGTTGCCACATAATTGGTACATAAGGCGAACTTTATGCGAGATATACATAGATCGTGCCATCCACGAAGACGCGCCCCACCAAGTTTTGGTCGAGAGAAGAGCGGGGTGCGGGAACTTTTATCCGAGCAATCTGAGCGTCATTATTGTAGTGTGCATGGATAATTTATACCGATAACACTCAAACATTAGCCACAGTACATTAGCGGAAGAAAGGTGGGGCGCGTCTTTGTGGATGGCACGATCTAAACCTTCGGACTAAACAGAAAAGAATCTTTGGCATACCTAAAGAAGAAGATTGGCATAGGCCCAGATCAAATTCTAAATTATTTAAAATTAATATTTCAGGTCCTGGTAGCGAGTAAGAGGAAGAAGACTCTGACGTACGTGATCGGCGGCGTAGCCATGGTGGTCGTCATAGGAGTCGTCATAGCGCTGGTGGTCGTCCTCTCCGGCAACGAAGGAGGCACGGCTGAGGCTATTGTTTCTACTACGCAAGGTAAATAAAATATTTGATTCGTTTCTTATGTCCAGAACGTCTTTTAAGGTATTTCAAACTAGAAATAATAAAGGCATGGTAAGTATGCTTCATTATTATAATGCAGCTAGTATCGTAACATATTCTCAGCAACAGTGGATGTTGTCCGGAAGTGGTGGTATGACTAAGCTATTGGAGCTTGTATAAATTATGTTAGAAGGGCCTACCTATGTGACTTATGTAGTTAATAAATAATTTTCTTCGAGCACACTGTAGTTTTGTAAAATAAGTATTAGTGGTAGATCGATCGTTTGCTATCAATAAAGTCAAGAATAATTTATAATTTTGAGACACCTAAAATTGAGGTACTTATAGTTTTCTCATGGGTCTGTACAATAGCTCCCAAAATCAAATTGATAAGTCCCATGTTAATATTTTGCTTTTGTCTTCAGGTCCAACGACAGTATCAACGGTATCAACTATAGCGACTGAAACACCGTCAACGGAGTCCACGCCTATTGTGAACCCTCCGACGTCCACCACGACGACGACCACGACAACGACCGAAGCCCCGACCACGACGCCCGAGCCAGAAGAAGAACTGCTCGACTTGCCGTCGATCATCAACGGCGCGTTCACGCCAGCTGGCTTCAGCGCTGTTTGGACGTCAGGTAAATATTGTCGGGATGTTCTTGTAGACAAAACTTAACAACAAGTCTCAAACATTCGGTTTGGTTGGTGGTAGGGCTTGCTCTAAGTTCATCTAGGCTAGCTACCACCATCTTACCTAAGTCTGTCGCCATAACAACAATGTTAACAGCATTGTTGTGTTCCGGAAGTTAGAGGTAAGATAGCCAGTTCCTCCGTGGTTGAGGATTCCGTGTGAAGCTCGCTTCCACCTTCGGCCTGATCATCACTTACCATCAGGTGAGATACCGGCCAAGAGCTTACTCGTTGTGGATAAAAAAAAAGCTCGCTTCCACCTTTGAACTGATCATCACTTACCGTCAGTTGTGATCCAAGCCAAGAGCTTCCTCGCTGTGGATAAAAAAAGTATCAGTGTTTTTAAATTAGAGTAGACACAGCTTGACGTCTTAGTCATTCTATTTACTCAGAGATAAAGGACTTTTAAGTTCACCCGGTGGACTGACGATAAGGGGAGGTACCTGGATGCGAACAGCGCAGGACCGGTCGGTATAGAAATTCTTATGCCCTAAAGCAGAAAGAGTTTGTCCAGCAGTAGACGTCTTTTTATTGAAAGGAACTTGACTAAACGCCGATTTATTTATAGAGTGTTCTTAGCTGTATTCAGTGCTATTTGGATATATTGACTAGGCACCATCTTTCTTTAACTTTGACAAACGTCAAAATTCCACACCAGAAACACCGGTTATCGTCAAAGTTAGGAGGTGAAACTCAGCCTTAGTAGTATAATAAGGTCCAATAATTATGACATTCAAAAATGAAGTCTAACATGGAGGGAGGCATATTTTTTTATACATGTAAATATTAAATACCTACTGTAAAAAAATTGTTCTGCATTATCATGGTTTCCATGTTATTATACTAAAGTAAGTATATCGGATGATCTAGCATCGTATCTCGTTACTCATACCCGCAAAATTGCCGGCGCCAATGAAATTAACTCAATTAACGAGTCTATTGCAGGGAATGAGGCGTTGCTCCGGAACCCCAACGGAGATCTGGTATTATATGATGTGGACTCCGACGCTTTTACCACTCTCATCCAGAACACTTCAGCTGTAAGTGTATTTTTTACTCTACTTTACCTAGGCTTAGCCTAGGCGCAGACCACCGACTCTTAGGCCCAGAACAGACGGTGAAACGCAACTGCAACGAAACTGCAACTGCTAGTTACTTTTGAGTTGCATCTAAGTGTCTGCCATAGCGTCCGTTGAGAGACCACACATGACGCGACCAGTTTGAAACTTTCAGTTTCAGTTTCATTCATCAGAATCATCAGAAAGTTGCAGTTTCGTTGCAGTTGCGCTTCACCGTCTGTTCTGGGCCTAGTCGGCCGTTAGTTGGGCCCGATTCTAATTTGTATGAAATCGAAATCGGAGTAATGTGCGTACTTCCATACATGCCCATACTGATTAACTGTCCAACTAAACTATCGGCCAACTAAAAGTCAATGGTCTGCGCCTAGGCTATGTTATATCGTGTTGAATATAGATAGTAATATATTTGCTTAATTAATTACATGAGAAACTGTGGGTAACTTTCCATTTTCGTGTGCTTAAAATTTTTAATAGGTAAATCACATTCGACTCCTGTCGCAGGACGACGAAAGCATGTCTCGGAAAACGTAGTATAGGACTCGTTCGGTGAACTGATGACCTCAAGACCTCAAGAATTTGCTACCATTTGTGAGGAGGCGTTCGATTCGTCTCCCACATATTCTTACATTTTACCCTTAGATAGATAAGCCAATAAAATCACATATTAAAACTTACGCCCGTATTCACAAACGATGCTTACATAAGTGAAGCAGCAAATCGAACGCACAGCGTTGAATAGAGCTCTGTGATTGGTTCGTGTGTCACCCTTTGCATCCACGCGCACTGTGAGACGTCATAGTACCTAATGTTGACGGGCGTTAGACCACTAGAAATAAGCGACACAATAAAAGAACAATCAAAAATCAATATTATAACTTTAGACCCCTTTTCTATAACAGTGGAGAATATTCCGGGTTTCTATCAATTTGTGATCGTTTACCGATATTTTCATGAATATTATCTCTTAGTATTCATAACGATTGTACCTTCGGCGTCGTTTTATTAACATTCAACAATAGACAATGGACACTATGTTTAATTCATATTGTTACTCGACAATTGCATGTTTTAGTCATGAAAGGGATTAAATTTATACAAATACTTTACATGATTTTGAATTATTATTATACCTAAGAAAAATACACTTTGAGTGAGAATTGAATGAATGTGTTTTTAGTCTTTCAAAATATTTATTACCAAGCTTCGATGCTTGCTTAATTATTTTGGGTTGTGGTGGAACGGTTACCTATTGCTACTACTAGGTAGTGAGCCTTCCTAACCCTTTGGGATGGCTGGATACCAGTTTTCATAAAATTTTACAACCTGATAGGCCATTATGACAGAAGCACGCTACGTCCTGTCTGGATTAGCTTTAGAATTATCGTGTTTTATAAGTTATTCCATTATTGATTTTTTTTCACGATACTTTTCGTTTTTAAATTTTTTTTCTTGTTGTAGCTTCTTCAGCAATCGTCTCGAGTGACTCTTTTGTCTCCAAACGGCGATTTTGTTGCGCTGGCACACAGCGTTATTCCCGTAAGTAGATTTTTCATTATTTTGTTAAGATACTTTATGGTTACTTTTTTCAGCACTTACCATGTCTTTGTCACGAAGCGCTAGTAGAGCCCAAACGTTTAGGAAACATGAAGAGCGGCTACATTTTAATTTTGTCGTTCATAAGTGTACCTAATAAGTAACTAGTGTATTTCATTATAATCGTATTCATAAGGCACATCAAAGATATTGGCCAAGCTTTCATGTAGCAATGAAAATTGTGCTTATGACCTAGGCTGTTTACCACTATTAAACATTTTACATATATTTCTTCTTTTGCTGTAACTCGTCATCTTGATAGTAGGTACAGTCGATGGTACATCAGACCTTTTCTTCGACTTAAACTACTCGTAGGTTCCAGTCCAGCCTACGAACAAGAAATACTTAGGCATTACGAGTATGTTGCTGTAAATATTTTAAGCTCTGAAAGTATGGACGACGTCACATAATTATGGAATCTAATTTCGTATTTTCGGGTTATTTTGCAATAAAAATACTTTGATGTGCTTTCGACTAGTACATTAAGTATTACCACAAAATAATAATAAGTACTACGTACAGAAGGTTTACTTCGCGAAGGTATTTAAAAAAAATGTATGCTCAATGTCATTAACAATATGGTGTAAATTAGCTTGTCTCAAGAGTCAAGCACCATTTTGTTGACAAACGTCAGTGATCGGTACTGCGCCGAAGCCATAGGGCTGACGTTTAAAGGTGAAATGATGTGTAACGTGAGGTGCCAAACTGCAGAAAATGGCGGTGGAAATACATGACTATGCATGAACTATCATGAATAATATTAACCACTTATTTACCTCTTAGTGTCTTTAGGCAACTTAAAAAAGTACATTATGTGTTTTTATTATTATTTAGGCAGTTAAATACTGCACAGTATTTACTATACCATTTTCTTAATTTTTTTCCATCCATGCCATGTGAGGCCTTGTCGAATAAGTAATCCTGTAGGGTGCCATCGTGCTTGTTTTGTTTTCGATGTAAACTCGCGCAGATGAACAGGCCTGGTATTACTCTGTGGTATAATAGTAAAAAACGTTTCCAGGGCTACAGATACAGCTTCCTCGCTCGCTACGCCGCAGTGGATGTGGTGTCCGGCAATGAAACAGAGATCCTCCCACTGGTTCCTCCTCCAGACCCGACCGTCTACCCCGAAGGTTTCCTCCAGAACTTCGTCTGGGGTCCCTCAGGAACGTCGCTGGCGTACGTCTACGTCAACAACATCTACTACCAGTCCTCCCTGGACAGCGAACCTGAACCCATCACAGATACTGGTGTGCTGGACGTCGTCTACCATGGAATACCTGATTGGGTTTATGAAGGTAATGTAATAAGCTTCATCTTATTTTAGTAGTCTATCTGTAGTCCAATTTAATTAATTTAAGTTTGCCTTTGGATTGATGATGATGATGATCCATCCGACCGATTTCGGCCATGGCGACCACTCCGACTCCTAGCTGTCTTGGCGGCGCTGGTGTGCCCGAAGATGGCTTACGTAGCCGATCTTCGCGGCAAACCCCCTCGCACATTGAGGGCATCTGAGCACGCTACCAACATAGTTGGCAGATGACATAGATCCTCCCGCAAAGCGCATAAAGTCTGATTTGGCAAGGAATGCAACCCACCGCAGATATGCAAATGGGCTTGGAGGACTCGACGATTCAGCCTCTGGATTAGAGAAAGTCGCACACCTACAGTGGAAACGAGTGAGTGAATTGATGATGATGAAACAGTGAACGCCAAACGCATGCTCTCAACATAGTCAACTTAAATAAGAACGTTGGATCATCATGAACTTTGGGTCATCATGGTTTTGATGAGGAAACATCATTATTGCACAAATATTTTATTGCTATAAAAATCAATTGCTGTTCGTTAGTCTTGCTAAAATTCCAGAACGGTTACACCGATTTGGCTGATTTTGGTTTAGAAATGTTTGTGGGAGTCCAGGGAAGGTTCTGGTGTCCGATGTCTGGTGAAGATCGCTCGATATAGTGAAGAGCAACCGTGCTGTCGCCTGTTCTTCAAAATTCTTTGTTTCTTATTTCAGAGGAGGTGTTCATCTCAAACAACGCTATGTGGTTCTCGGCTGACGGAAGCAAGCTGGCATACGCCACGTTCAACGACACAGACGTCAGGAAGATGAAGGTCCCGCACTACGGAGTGCCTGGCTCCGTGCAATACCAGTACACACAGCATCACGAGATTCGATACCCCAAGGTAAGATCTATCGGTCGTCGGTCCTGTGGAGTTACACCCAAAAACGTTATTTTGTCACCTGTCATCCGCTTTGCAACGGAGGGAAGTCGAACCTTTACTTGGAACTGGTCCTATGTTCTTCTGATTAATTTCGTTGCGGGTCCAATGACAGTTCTTTCCCCCGGGACAAACTTGACCTTCACTGGTTGTGTTTTTATTGACGGTCAAGCTGTAGACCCTGACTACACCGGAGTTGCAGCGGTGGGAACGAGAGGTGGGAAAAGTCCCGTCCAAAAATCGTTATCCGAAGTTTCGAATGTTGCCATCCCTCTCTAGCGAGACGTCAGCTTAAGCGATAGCGACCGCTAGCATTGAAACTACGTTAACAGCGTTACGAAGTATCCCTTTTTCTATGCGGTAACGCCTTAAAACACCGTATGGCGCTCAAATCCTGGGTGGATCAATTCAGAAGCGATCTTAAATTTACAATGGGTCTTAACCATGACAACAGTTGCCTTTAATCATTAACAAAAGGATGTAATCTAATAGGATTAGGTAGGAATTTGATTGTTATTTGTAGAATCTTGCGGATGTTATTACAAAATTCGGCAATGTCTGGTGGTATCTCCTCGAACTTATAACCGTACAGTTGCTTGGCGACTTACTACAGAACTACATATATACCTCACTTAATTTTTAGGAAGTGGACGAAGTTAATTTAATAACGTTATTTATTTTAATACTATTTCAGCCTGGCACCACAAACCCCACCGTAAGTGTAACGATCAGAGACTTGGCCAGCGACCTTGAGAGCACCTTCTATGCTCCCGACAATCTTGATGAGTAAGTAGTATTTCATTATTTTCGTATTTTTTCAAATTTTATTTCATATGGTCCTGTAAGACTTGCAAGAAAAGTATTTAAGTAGTAGAGTCCACCCTTTTTGTTTGACTAAAAATACCCTGTGTGCTGTTAAAAATTTTCAGGCCAATCCTGAAGATTGTGCAGTTTGTGTCGAACGACACCATCGCTGTGATGTGGACCAACAGAGTGCAGACCAGCCTCACAGTTGAACTCTGCCCCTTCCAAGGAAACTGCTCTCTGGTAAGTCCCTAATTTATTGAATTCAAGGAATTTCTTATGTACAAACTTTTAGATGTCATTATTTGCGAATTTTGTAAACAGTTGCCCTTGGAAGGATAATCGTTCATCGATGTAGGTGTCGCTTTGTATTTGGGATGAATATTAGACCATCGACTGTTTTAACTGTTGCACAGTCAGTGAAAAATATGACGACAGCACATGATCTTTGCCATTATGCAGTTGTAAAAAGTGCTATTTGCAGTAATAGCATTTAAAGCGTGATAAATTATACTGTCAACTGAAATTTTCCGGTATCAAGCATCCCCATACACCCATTTGACTCGATATAATACAACAATGATGACAATAACGTTATAGTTGCTTAGCATAAATATATCTAATTTTTCCATATGAGTAGCACGGGAAAACCTTGTCCCATCTTATAGGGAGTGATTCTGGTGCTCGATGCTCTTGCATAATACTTAATTTCTGTATCTGTGTTTTCAGATTTACACATACACTGAGACGAATGGTTGGATCGACAATATCCCTATGATATTTAACCAGCAAGGCAATGCTTTCATCACAATCCTTCCTGAAGTAAGTCTATTACTAATTATAACTTAGCATACCCATAGTATAATAATGAGTATTTAAATAATATAACCTTTTCGTTCCATTTGCTTAGTAGACCAAGGAAGATTATTTGGTGTGCGTCCATGTTATTAGGTGATTCTTACCGATTACTCTTTTTCTAAACATTTGATAAAGCTTTAAATAAATTATACTCGTAGTTTAGCAATACTTTCTTCAGTCAAAACAAAATTTGTAGGTTTTTGCACACCAAGCAAAAAAGTTCACAGGATGCATATATTAAAGGTTTTTATATAACCTTACCAGACTTTAAGAAAACAAAGCAATAGAAAGAGCTTAAAGTTTTTCCAGCTTATTAATATTTTTGCTATAATAAATTTCAGGCAGTCGGAGGCAAGTTGTTCAAGCAGGTAGTCCAAATCTCCGACGTGAACGCTGATTTGTGGACTGCTTCTGGGCGGTTGAACACTCCCCACACAGTTGCCGAGATCCTGCGGTGGACTCCCGATGACGTCATGTGAGTAGATTGGTATACGAANAATACGAAATTGACGTCACACCATCAACTTTCTCATTATTCAACCATCATATCCATCGGCCAGCAATGGTTCATTATTTTAAAGTGGAGGTGAAGAACCACGAAGACTAAAATTCCCTTCTTTGTTTCGCCTCAATGGTGTGTATTTGATTGAAGCAAATTGGTTTCGACATCGATGGAGTTAAAAGATTTCCCGGTCATAAAAAATCTTCTATTTTTCCAGCTGGTACAAAGCAACGCACGTAGACGATTCTGCCGAACAGCATATCTATTCAGTAAACGCTACTGGTGGCGTCTCATGCTTCACGTGCGGAATCACTCGTACTGACGGCGCCGCGTGTCTGTACAACGAGGCAACGTTCAGTGCTAATGGCGCTCGCCTCGCTATCAACTGCGCCGGCCCTGAAATCCCGCAGACGTTCATCTACAATTCTGTAAGTCATATCAGGTCATTTAGTTTCTACTGCAGGAGGATTTAGTGTCTAGATTCCGCTTAACGGTATATCTACTCAGTAAACGCGACTGGTGGAGTTTCATGCTTCACGTGCGGAATCACACGTACTGACGGCGCCACGTATCTGTACAACGAAGCAACGCTCAGCGCTAATAGCGCTCGCCTCGCCATCAACTGCGCCGGCCCTGAAATCCCGCAGATGTTCATCTACAATTCTGTAAGTCATATCAGGTCATTTAGTTTCTAATGCAGGAGGACTTAGTGCCTAGATTCCGCTGAACATAACAGCACATCTACTCAGTAAACGCGACTGGTGGAGTCTCATGTTTCACGTGCGGAATCACTCGTACTGACGGCGCCGCGTGTCTGTACAACGAGGCAACCCTCAGTGCTAATGGCGCTCGCCTCGCTATCAACTGCGCCGGCCCAGAAATTCCGCAGACGTTCATTTACAATTCTGTAAGTCATATCAGGTCATTTAGNTATACGAAAATGACGTCACACCATCAACTTTCTCATATATCCATCCATCATATCCATCGGCCAGCAATGGTTCATTATTTTAAAGTGGAGGCGAAGAACCACAAAGAATAAAATTCCCTTCTTTGTTTCGCCTCAATGGTGTGTATTTGATTGAAGCAAATTGATTTCGACATCGGTGGAGTTAAAAGATTTCTCGGTCATAAAAAATCTTCTATTTTTCCAGCTGGTACAAAGCAACGCACGTCGACGATTCTGCCGAACAGCATATCTACTCAGTAAACGCGACTGGTGGAGTCTCATGCTTCACGTGCGGAATCACTCGTACTGACGGCGCGGCGTGTCTGTACAACGAGGCAACCCTCAGTGCTAATGGCGCTCGCCTCGCTATCAACTGCGCCGGCCCTGAAATCCCGCAGACGTTCATCTACAGTTCTGTAAGTCATATCAGGTCATTTAGTTTCTAATGCAGGAGGATTTAGTGTCAAAATTCCGCTGAACAGCACATCTAATCTGTAAATGCGACTGGTGGCGTCTCATGCTTCACGTGCGGAATCACTCGTACTGACGGCGCCGCGTGTCTATACAACGAGGCAACGCTCAGCGCTAATGGCGCTCGCCTCGCCATCAACTGCGCTGGCCCAGAAATCCCGCAGACGTTCATCTACAATTCTGTAAGTCATATCAGGTCATTTAGTTTCTAATGTAGGAGGATTTAGTGTCTAGATTCCGCTAAACAGAACAGCACATCTACTCAGTAAACGCGACTGGTGGAGTCTCATGCTTCACATGCGGAATCACTCGTACTGACGGCGCCGCGTGTCTGTAGACGTTCATCTACAATTCATCAGCATCAGTTCATTTTGTTTCTACTGCAGGAGGATTTAGTGTCTAGATTCCGGTGAATAGCACATCTACTCTGTAAACGCGACTGGTGGAGTCTCATGTTTCACGTGCGGAATCACTCGTACTGACGGCGCCGCATGTCTGTACAACGAGGCAACCCTCAGTGCTAATGGCGCTCGCCTCGCCATCAACTGCGCCGGCCCAGAAATCCCGCAGACATTCATCTACAATTCTGTAAGTCATCAGCATCAGTTCATTTTGTTTCTACTGCAGGAGGATTTAGTGTCTAGATTCCGCTGAACGGTATATCTACTCAGTAAACGCCACTGGTGGCGTCTCATGCTTCACGTGCGAAGTCACTCGTACTGACGGCGCCGCGTGTCTGTACAACGAGGCAACCCTCAGTGCTAATGGCGCTCGCCTCGCTATCAACTGCGCCGGCCCAGAAATCCCGCAGACGTTCATTTACAATTCTGTAAGTCATATCAGGTCATTTAGTTTCTAATGCAGGAGGATTTAGTGTCTAGATTCCACTGAACAGTACTTCTACTGTAAACGCGACTGGTGGAGTCTCATGCTTCACGTGCGGAATCACTCGTACTGACGGCGCCGCGTGTCTGTACAACGAGGCAACCCTCAGCGCTAATGGCGCTCGCCTTGCCATCAACTGCGCCGGCCCAGAAATCCCGCAGACGTTCATTTACAATTCTGTAAGTCATCATCATTAGCAGATCGTCTTTACCTACTGCAGAATGACGAATTCTCTAATCGACCAGAGAAAAAAAAAGGATTTGTTCCACACTCCCTATGCTGGTCAGACCGCTAGGGAAGGCTTGATGTTCGCATACAGGTCATTTAGTCTTCACTACAGGACGACGATTTCTCTAATCGACCAGAGGATAAAAGGATTTGTTCCACACCCCCTACGCTGGTCAGACCGCTTGAGAAGGCTAGATGTTCGCTTAATTTTCCCTTAGTCGCCTCTTACGATATGCACGGGAAAAGTGGTCCTAAAGGTTATTCTGCCGGAACCACACGGCCAACGCGTGAGACGGTATCGCCTATCCCCAATATAAATGCACACTTTTCCTCTTCATGACCATTACATACTATTTTGTTGTAAAGTTTAAGTGTTCCTTACTCCTGGTCCTTCGAGCCGGATCTTTGTCTACCTACCTCGAAGTTATAGAACCTTCAAGAACACCGAATCGTCTTATATGAAATGCCATAGTATAGCAGTAGCACAGATAAAAGATACCTGTGACTGTGACTGTGACTAGACATTTATTTATAAAGGTTTTACTTCTTAGTTCAGTTTAAAACAAGTTATAGCAAACCGGTTACTACGTGCCTATCGCGCCGGCATCACGCTACGCTACCCGATATGGGCATAGCTCGAATCCCGCGCGAGCTACACCCCGCGCGCCGCGCCCCGCTAACGGTTACAGCGCTCTAGAATTTTCGATCGGCGTCCCGCCCATAGCCGCGACGCATCGATCGCCAGTACGCGTTCGCGCTCCGCACGTTACACGCGCGCGCGCTGCTCGGGTGGCGGCGGCTGCGGGGGCCGGATAGCGGCTGGCGGCGGCGGCAGGCGGCGGTTGCGGGGCACGTATGGCGGATTCCGGCGCCGTATAAGTGGGCGCTCGGGGACCGGCGTATGTTGTGCTCGCGCGGGGTGCCGTGCGCGGTGTCGGAGTACCTCTCGACGTATCTGCCTCGCCCTGGCTGTCTTCTATATTGCGCGCATGACGTAATAGGTCTTGAAAAGTGGCAAATTCTTCACGGCGTAGTCTCTGCCGGATTTTAGTGTGTAGGAGGCCGTACACCATGTCTAGCCTGGCCTTCTCCGAGACGTCTCTATCCGATATTTTCGATAGAAGGGCACGGCTGCGCGCTATGAATGTGTCCGTGTTTTCATTGTGCATCTGCGGGCTCGCGAATAGCTGTAGGTAAATGCGGTGTGGCGGGCGGCGGTCACCGAAGGCACTTATCAGGTTCTCTTTGGCCTCGTCCCACGATGTGATGGTGTTCTTGATGCCAAGCCACCACGTAGCAGCATCACCACTGAAGAGAAATGCGAGGCCGCGAACGATGTTAGTGCTGGACACTTGAGCACAGTCGCTGTACGCCTCGACGGCGTCTATAAACGCTTCTACCGATTCGTTCGGGTGGCCGGAAAATTGTGACTTACAGCGGGCCAGGGTGCCTTCCCCTGGGGCCGGTGTCGACGTGTTTATTCGTGTCACAGATAACAGGAGGTCTTTGAATGCTTCCGTCTGCGATCTTTGCAATGATTCTATTATGCTGGCTACGTTTTCAGTAGAAAAGTGAGAAGCGGGAACGTAGGTCGTATCGCGGCTTGTTGGAACTTCATGGTGTTCATCGCGATCCTGCGTCGGCGGCGTGGGCGGCAGAGGGCTGGGAAATGCGGGATTCGGCGCCGCATTCTCTCTGTCACACGCGTTTCGGCTTCTTGTATGCATTGCGGAGAACGAATAACTTTTACACTGTCACTGTAGGTCACTTATACATATTTTACGTTGGGCGCCAGATATGAGCAGCGCGCGCGCGTGTAACGTGCGGAGCGCGAACGCGTACTGGCGATCGATGCGTCGCGGCTATGGGCGGGACGCCGATCGAAAATTCTAGAGCGCTGTAACCGTTAGCGGGGCGCGGCGCGCGGGGTGTAGCTCGCGCGGGATTCGAGCTATGCCCATATCGGGTAGCGTAGCGTGATGCCGGCGCGATAGGCACGTAGTAACCGGTTTGCTATAAAGTGTATTTTTTGTTCCAGGATGGTGAACGCGTCCGCGTATGGGAGGAAAACGCCGAGGTGGCAGCTCTGCTCGCAAACCGCGAGGTTCCTCTGACCATCCGACCGTCTCTGCCTATCGTGGACGGCTTCCCAAGCGCCGACGTCCAAATACAGGTGCCGCACGACTACTTGAATAGGACTAACCTGCCTCTGCTGGTATACGTGTGAGTACTTTTATTACATTTGTTGGAATCTTTTTTTGGTCATTTCTTACTCTGACCATCCGACCGTCTCTGCCTATCGTGGACGGCTTCCCAAGTGCTGACGTGCAAATACAGGTGCCGCACGACTACTTGAACAGGACCAACCTCCCACTGCTGGTATACGTGTGAGTATTTTGATACATTTCTTGGAATCTTTTTTGGTCATTTTTCTGACCATCCGGCCGTCTCTGCCTATCGTGGACGGCTTCCCAAGTGCTGACGTCCAAATACAGGTGATGCACGACTACTTGAACAGGAATAACCTCCCACTACTGGTATACGTGTGAGTATTTTGATACATTTTTTGGTAATTTCTTACTCTGACCATCCGACCGTCTCTGCCTATCGTGGACGGCTTCCCAAGCGCCGACGTGCAAATCCAGGTGCCGCACGACTACTTGAACAGAACTAACCTCCCAATGCTGGTATACATGTGAGTATTTTGATACATTTTTTGGAATATTTTTTTTTTGGTAATTTCTTACTCTGACCATTCGACCGTCCGTGTCTATCGTGGACGGCTTCCCAAGTGCTGACGTGCAAATACAGGTGCCGCACGACTACTTGAACAGGACCAACCTCCCACTGCTGGTATACGTGTGAGTATTTTGATACATTTTTTTGGAAATTTCTTACTCTGACCATCCGACTGTCTCTGCCTATCGTGGACGGCTTTCCAAGCGCCGACGTCCAAATACAGGCGATTCACGACTACTTGAATAGGACTAACCTCCCTCTGCTGGTATACGTGTGAGTACTTTTATTACATTTGTTGGAATCTTTTTTGGTCATTTCTTACTCTGACCATCCGGCCGTCTCTGCCTATCGTGGACGGCTTCCCAAGCGCTGACGTGCAAACACAGGTGCCGCTCGACTACTTGACAGGACTAACCTCCCCCTGCTGGTATACATGTGAGTGTTTTGATAAATTATTTCGAATCTTTTTTTGGTCATTTCTTTCTCTGACCATCCGGCCGTCTCTGCCTATCGTGGACGGCTTCCCAAGAAGAGTTATTCTGATGGAAAGAGCTATGCTCACGGGTTAGCAAGCCGAAGTGGCAATGGGCAGGGCACATAGTACGCAGAACTGACGGCCGATGGAGCAGCAAGGTTCTGGAGTGGAGGCCACGTACCGGAAAACGCAGCATGGGACGTCCACCCACAAGGTGAACCGACGACCAGATAAAGGTAGCAGGAAGACGCTGGATGCAGGCCGCTACCAACTGTGCGATGTGAAGTCATTGGGGGAGGCCTATGTTCAGCAGTGGACGTCATGTGGCTGAAATGATGATGATGATGATTTTATCAATAATAATAAGTATTTAATTGTTAATTTTCAGCTACGCTGGCCCCGACACAGCTCTGGTGACCAAGGCCTGGAACGTGGACTGGGGATCCTCCTTAGTGAGCCGCTACGGCATCGCGGTCGCCCAGATCGACGGCCGAGGCTCCGGGCTCAGAGGCGTCGAAGACATGTTCGCTGTTAACAGGAGGCTTGGAACGGTTGAAATTGAGGACCAGATCACTGTCACCAGGTATATTTACTACATTTACCAAACAGTACGGCTAGGACAAAAACTTTCTAGTTCGAATCGTTTGCGTATTTGAATCGCCATCAAAAGATTTAGTACAAAAACTACAACAGCGCCCTTGTGAACGTCGTAAAGTGAACTTAGTATGAGAAATGGTTGCACGAAACTTATTTTTAAAATCAAAATTGTCACGTTATCGTTTAATTCGAAGGTTGAGTATCGAATTTTGTCGAATACGCAAACGAGTCGAAGACTAAAGTTGTTCATGCTAGAAGTACAGAATCCTACACTGTGTCAAAATTCATGGTCGAAGTCGCGGGTAAAAGCCAATACAACAGATTTACCCAGCAGATTAGAATAACCACCTTCACTCTTCCAGTGGATGTCGTAAGAGGCAAGTGAGTCCTATCCAAACTGTCTGGCCAGCGTAAAGCTCCTCAGTGTTATAAGCTAGAAGATCCATTACTTCTGATAATTTATTTCTGGCAAATTAGAGACGCTCGTCCTCCTGCATGATTATGATAAAGACTTTCGTTTGAACTAACGACACTGCTGGACGAAAGCCTCCTCGATGGATTTCCACAACGACTAGATCTACTCTGCCAGCATCCATGTTTCTTTACCAGATCGTTGGTTCACTAAGGGAGCCAATAGCACTAAGCACAAGCAAGCACCAAGAGCTCTATCGCTCGTATTCTTATTTTATTTTTATTTTATTTTATTTTATTCGGAAAACCAACAGCAATACAATACAAATAATGGGACCTTAAATTGTTCATCAATTCACAAGCATTACTATGAGGTTTCAAGGTGCGCGTGGATACACAGTTTCACACACGAACCAATCACAGAGCTCTATTCAACGCTGTGCGTTCGATTTGCTGCTTCACTTAAGCATCGTTTGTGAACACGGGCGTATGTTTTCTAGTCCGTGGTTATCGGTTCACTCGAGAACTTTTCTGACTAAACACATTCTCCAACAGATACCTTCAGCAGAACTTCAACTGGGTGGACGGCAACCGCACGTGCATCTGGGGCTGGTCGTACGGCGGGTACGCGGCGTCGCTTGCGTTAGCGCGAGGCGGCGACGTGTTCCGCTGTGCCGCCGCCGTCGCGCCTGTCGTGGACTGGCGCTTCTACGGTGAGTGTAGGGTAGGACGGCCCCGCCCTGCATGTGAGTGTAGTGTAGGACGGCCCCGCCCTGCATGTGAGTGTAGTGTAGGACGGCCCCGCCCTGCATGTGAGTGTAGTGTAGGACGGCCCCGCCCTGCATGTGAGTGTAGTGTAGGACGGCCCCGCCCTGCATGTGAGTGTAGTGTAGGACGGCCCCGCCCTGCATGTGAGTGTAGTGTAGGACGGCCCCGCCCTGCATGTGAGTGTAGTGTAGGACGGCCCCGCCCTGCATGTGAGTGTAGTGTAGGACGGCCCCGCCCTGCATGTGAGTGTAGTGTAGGACGGCCCCGCCCTGCATGTGAGTGTAGTGTAGGACGGCCCCGCCCTGCATGTGAGTGTAGTGTAGGACGGCCCCGCCCTGCATGTGAGTGTAGTGTAGGACGGCCCCGCCCTGCATGTGAGTGTAGTGTAGGACGGCCCCGCCCTGCATGTGAGTGTAGTGTAGGACGGCCCCGCCCTGCATGTGAGTGTAGTGTAGGACGGCCCCGCCCTGCATGTGAGTGTAGTGTAGGACGGCCCCGCCCTGCATGTGAGTGTAGTGTAGGACGGCCCCGCCCTGCATGTGAGTGTAGTGTAGGACGGCCCCGCCCTGCATGTGAGTGTAGTGTAGGACGGCCCCGCCCTGCATGTGAGTGTAGGGTAGGACGGCCCCGCCCTGCATGTGAGTGTAGGGTAGGACGGCCCCGCCCTGCATGTGAGTGTAGGGTAGGACGGCCCCGCCCTGCATGTGAGTGTAGGGTAGGACGGCCCCGCCCTGCATGTGAGTGTAGGGTAGAACGGCCCCGCCCTGCATGTGAGTGTAGGGTAGGACGGCCCCGAGCTGCATGTGAGTGTAGGGTTGGACGGCCCCGCCCTGCATCGGGCTGGTCGTACGGCGGGAATGCGGCGTCGCTGCCGTCGCGTCCCTCCTAGACTGGCGCTTCTACGGTAAGTGTAGTGTAGGACGGCCCCACCTTGCATGTGAGTGTAGGGTAAGACGGCCCCGACCTGCATGCGAGTGTAGGGTAGGACGGCCCCGCCTGCATCGGGGCTGGTCGTACGGCGGGAACGTGGCGTCGCTGCCGTCGCGTCCCTCCTGGACTGGCGCTTCTACGGTGAGTGTAGTGTAGGACGGCCCCACCCTGCATGTGAGTGTAGGGTAAGACGGCCCCGACCTGCATGTGAGTGTAGGGTAGGACGGCCCCGCCTGCATCGGTCGTACGGCGGACACGCGGTGTCGCTGGCGCGGGTGCCCGTCGTGGACTGGCGCTTCTACGGTGAGTGTAGTGCAAGACGGCCCCGCCCTGCATCAGAGCTGGGCTGGCTGGAATTTTTCATATCGATCCTGTAGTTTCGGGCCTATTAAATATAAACAAACACGATATCAAATCTTTCCTCTTTATTATGTCGCCAGTAGTATTTTCGATCTCCTCATACAAAGCGATTGCTTAAGTACAAATGGTGGAATAAATAATAAAATTATATTGTATCGAAAAACACCATAACGTTATCGATTTCACTTTGCTTTTTTTACAGATACTATCTACACAGAGCGGTACATGGACCAACCTCAGAACAATCCTACTGGGTACGCTGAGTCATCGCTTCTTACAGAAGATGTGGTATGTTAAACTGATTAATAAATTCCCAAGCATAAAATGGTTCTCAGTCTGCTAGTGGCAAAATGGTTTTGGTAAATAAGGGAGTAATTCTCCTGCAGCGGAGACTAAATGACTCTAAAACAAGGCTGGCCCAATAAATTTTCCGGATGAGCAAAATTTCTTAGACTGTGGCGACGCCGGGCCACATCTTTTTTAAAATCAAAGCAAAAGCAAAACTATACTAAATTCATAAAACCATTTATACCACCGCGCGCCGGCTAAGTCGCTGACGACGGGCAAATTCAAATGCCTTGGCGGGCCACTTGCCTGGGTTTGACCAGGCTTGCTCTAAAATGATGACGGTATAACGATAATGGTAATGTTAAAGCTAACGATAATAATGATGGTGTTGATGAAAATAATGATGTTGATGAAGATAATGATGTTGATGAAGATAATGATGTTGATGAAAATAATGATGTTGATGAAGATAATGATGTTGATGAAGATAATGATGTTGATGAAGATAATGATGTTGATGAAGATAATGATGTTGATGAAGATAATGATGTTGATGAAGACGATGATGATTGAACCTCCGATCTGGTCCTCCCAGGTGGAGGCGTTCCGCGACAAGCGCTACTTCCTGATCCACGGCACGGCGGACGACAACGTGCACTTCCAGCACGCCATGCTCATCTCCCGCCTGCTGCAGAGGAGGGACGTCTACTTCCAGCAGATGGTAAGTGCTTTGGGCAGGAGAATCTGGGTGTAAAACTTCTAGTCAAGAAATTCAAATTCAAATATTTTTTTATTGCTCCATGTTTTTACATAAACTGTTTGGCAGTTTTGTTTTATTTCAAAAAATTGTGTTTAGCCAAATATAAATGTGAAATAATGTTGAATATTATTAAGCGTCACCACAAGCGTCACTGTCCACGGTGGCGTAGGTACGCGACTTTGTACGCTTGGAGTACGCGACATTGTACAGGCTTTACACCAAGCGTTCAAAATTGCGTGCGCATCTAGGACGCTTATAATATTCTATTTAAAATGAATGTTAACGAACTGTTTCAGTTAAATTACTGAAGGAGTAAAGTGTGAGTGAAGGATGAGGGAATATCTCTGCTTGAGTGTCGAGTTTTAAGTTCGATTCCTAAGAAAATTACTTATTAGAGTCAGTCGATTTAAAATGATAATTATCTACGACTTGCCTCGAAATAAAATAATTGCGGCCACTGCACTAGTTGAAGAAAACCAACAGAAAACCTCTATACCTGTATCCTACTAGATTTGTCAGTATAAGACTTGCTTATTTACCTAAATTTCTTCTACAGAGCTACACGGACGAAGACCACGGCCTAGTGGGGGTAAGGCCGCATTTATACCACGCCCTCGAGAAGTTCCTGCAAGAAAACATGTTTTAAACCAACAGACAATAATCAAGTGTTACGTTAATTCCAATCACATTTTAGGTCGAGATAAAGTACCCAACACCGATAAATCGGTTCGATTAATCGATCATTTCGATAAAAGATGACATAAGTCTTCGCTACTTCGCGAAATTTGCCTTCATGCGATGGCATCTAATTAATCCGTAAATATTCCAAATCCTCCATATAAAACAGAATATGGTAAGATTTTTACATTTTGGCGCTTTAAGAGCATGACGGACTTTCGCTTCCGAGGGAAGTGGTATTGTCTACAGGCACAAAATCAATAGCAATGTATTTTTAAAAGTTTTGCATTTGATGATAACATTTCGAAAGAAATGTATACCTACCGATAGTATTGAATGGTTGCAGTGTTTTCTATTTTCTATAAAAACACTGATACTTAACTACAGCAACCACCTACTTATTGTCTTCCTAAAACACAAAATATTGTTAATTACTAACAGTACAAGTAAGGTACTTTATATCTAAGAGAAATAAATGAGAAGATATTCTTCTACTAGTTTATAAAATCTTAATTCCGCTGTACATTTCGCTTAGGTATCGCTCAAAACTTGAGGTTATCAGTTACCTTTAAATGTGCAATAATTTATTAAATCTTACTGTATTTAGTCTAATAATTATCTTATACACAATACATAAATAGAGGTAAATTCAAATATTTTACTCAGGAAGCAAAATAGTAATTATGATTATATTGTCATAAGAAGTGTTTAAATATTTCCTAAAACATTTTGTCAAATATGATTTTATGTTCTATGAAAATCAATCGGCCACGGTGATGTTGCTAGAGTCATTATTGTGTTTTATTAATAACATAATTTTCAGAATTATGATAATAATTATGACTGTAAGAATCAAAGTATTGTAGTTACCTATAGTGTCGCCAAAAGGAAAGCAGTATGCTGACAGGGTTGCCCAGTGAAAAATTCGACTAGAGTTGATTAAAATAATATTAATTATACATAATATTATGTGTAGGTATTATTAAAGTACCTGTGTGAAATTATTGCATCTTACTGTTGACATTCGTTTGTAAATATTTTATGTACTTTAAGTACAAAATAATTATGTCTTATTAAATGTGTTTTGTATATCTGTTGTTTTTCTAACCCTTTCAAGTACACACTTCATTTTTTTTAAACTTCGTAAGTAGGTATCTATACAACTTTTAGAAAAACCATCACAAGCTTATCTCTAAAAAACATCATTCCATAAAAATAATTCAATATAAAACTAATGTAAAAACTGGTCCCATCTCGCATATAACATCTGGAGATGATGATACAATTCCAACCAGAGAAGGCAAAGATTCTAAAACTGTCATTGGAGCCGCAACGAAATTAACGAAAAGTAAATCGGTAGGTAAAATAAAGAATTTATGAAAATACCTAGTACTACAAAACGTACGTCTAGTACGTCTTATTTTGTCCCTATTTAAAAAAAAAAACTTTAAAAGCTGGAATCTATTATCTACAACTGCGAGCGATGTGGTTAGTAACAAATACACAGATAGCATCAAACGGCCGATCTTCTGTATTTTTATGACAAACCTCTCTTAGCGTGTGAAGTTACAAGTTAGGTATTAATAGTAGATACATTCACACACTCACATGTTCACATGTTAGTAAGAATTTAAAGGTGGTTAAACACTAGAGCCGATCTTACGAATGTTACAAGAAAGATAGAACCTTAGTTTCCAAAGCATTTTCATGTACCTACGTTTGGTTTGTGAAAGGGTGAAAGACACACTGTAACATGTCATAGAGCGGTTAAAGGGAGCCAATGGTCACAGCGTTTCCCGTAATCTATAATGATGATGCTTAGTCAGAAATACCTATAGGTTCTGTGACAAGAAATAAAATAGGTCCTCACGTCACTTACTTATAAATGTCCATGTTTGGAATGGGAACATATTTTTACAGTACCTACCTTATAATATGACTACCTTCACGCTACCAGTTGTCAGAACAGTGTTATTTTATCTGAATCACTTATAAGTTAAAAGCTTATTCGCCACTGGCACGGTCCATTAGCAAAGAATGAGAATCACTTAGCCGCCATTTTTATTTCATGTATTCTTCACGGAGCTAATGCAACTTTCTTTTTGCGTTTGTAAAAATACAACGCCTTTTATTTGCCGTGATTTGTTATTCTGTCACTTATTTCATTAAGTTTTAATAAAGGCGAGTATCTTGCTGGCTTGTTATTCTTTCAGTTTCAGTGAAATATAGCTATTTTATTCAAATTATACTTCAATTGTATGTGAAAAATATTAAATGGAAAAATGGAAAAAAGAATTTGGATTTTAAAAGACCACATTAAGAAACGTATTACATATTTTCTACGTGAATAGACTTTCTGCGAAACATATTTTAGAATTGCTTTAAGAACAATTTCGAAGTAGGTATGAATCCTGAAGATAATGGAAAAAGTTATGAACCTGTCAGTTTAAAAANTATTAATATCAATACCAAATTTTAATTACTTATCCTGTTTGGATACATAAAAATTTGGACAAAATATGTGTCTTACATCGTGAAGTTAGAAGATAGTCGTTCAGATTATAAGAGCGAGGAATAAACTTTCAAGTTTGCTACCAAAGCATGATATATTTAAGTTGCAAGCTTATAGCAAGCTCGTCCTAAGCTCGTTACAATGCCACTTATGTACTCNAATTAGGTATACAACTTTTAGAAAAACAATCACAAGCTTACGAGTATCTCTAAAAAACATCATTCCATAAAAATAATTCAATATAAAACTAATGTAGAAACTGTTCCCATCTCGCATATACATCTGGAGATGATGATACAATTCCAACCAGAGAAGGCAAAGATTCTAAAACTGTCATTGGAGCCGCAACGAAATTAACGAAAAGAAAATCGGTAGGTAAAATAAAGAATTTATGAAAGTACCTAGTACGTCTTATTTTGTCCCCATTTAAAAAAAATCTTTAAAAGCTGGAATCTATTACAACTGCGAGCGATGTGGTGAGTAACAAATACACAGTTAGCATCAAACGGCCGATCTTCTGTATTTTTATGACAAACCTCTCTTAGCTGATGAAGTTAAAATAATAGTAATTTTAATAGTAGGTACCACATTCACATGTTAGTAAGAATTTAAAGGTGGTTAAACACTAGAGCCGATCTTACGAATGTTACAAGAAAGATAGAACCTCAGTTTCCAAAGCATGTTCATGTACCTACTTTTGATTCGTGAAAGGGTGAAAGACACACTGTAACATGTCATAGAGCGGTTACAGGGAGCCAAAGGTCACAGCGTTCCCCGTAATTTATAATGATGGTGCTTAGTCAGAAATACCTATAGGTTCTGTGACAAGAAATAAAATAGGTCATCACGTCACTTACCTTCTTAAAAAAATGTCCATGTTTGGAATGGGAACATAAATTATTATTACTTACCTTAAATGACTACCTTCACGCTACCAGTTGTAAGAACAGTGTTATTTTATCCGAATCACTTATAAGTTAAAAGCTTATTCGCCTCTGGCACGGTCCATTAGCAAAGAATGAGAATCACTTAGCCGCCATTTTTATTTCATGTATTCTTCACGGAGCTAATGCAACTTTCTTTTTGCGTTTGTAAAAATACAACGCCTTTTATTTGCCGTGATTTGTTATTCTGTCACTTATTTCATTAAGAATTAAATTTTAATAAAGGAGAGTAACTTGCTGGCTTGTTATTCTTTCAGTTTCAGTGAAAGCTATTTTTTCAAATTATACTTCAATTGTAAGTGAAAAATATTAAATGGAAAAAATAATTTGGATTTTAAAAGACCACATTAAGAAACGTATTACATATTTTCTACGTGAATAGACTTTCTGCGAAACATATTTTAGAATTGCTTTAAGAAAATTTCGAAGTAGGTATGGATCCTGAAGATAATGGAAAAAGTTATGAACCTGTCAGCCGAAATCGATTTTCATGTAAACTTATGAATAAAGGGTTCAAAAACTTAAAACCTGTTAGCGGTTCTTAAAGAATAAAAAGTAATTTAATCATACAAAATATATTGGAAAAGGATAAAACGAAATTTTTTTTTAGTTTTGTACCTGATAAAAAAAGGGTTTTCCTTACATATTCAATCAGTTCCAAAGTCTCATCCTACAGCTCTTCCAACAAAAAATGGACAAAAATAAAAATCCTAAAGTTATTACTAAAATAATTCCCACGGACTTTCTTAACTTTGCAGTACTAGGTGGTACGTACCTACTCGTACCTAAATAGAATTCATCCTAAACTTCATCCAAATACTTTTGTTCCATAAGGTAGGTAGGATTTTTATTTTATATTGTATAAAGGAGTAAATTCCACTATAGGGGCAGCTCCAGCAGATTGGGTTCACATGAAGACGCTGTCAGAAATAGTAGCTAGGTTCTACTCATTAACACCTGAGGATACGTTCGAATTTCGATGAGCCATATGATTCAGTCTTGGTCCTGTTTGGCATTCTATGACATTCACTGACTCAATACATCAAAGAGAAATAAGTGTTGCAGAGGTATCTACCTATTCCAGCCAGCTCTTCCAGTTCGATCTTGCGACGTTTCCAGCCGCGTGGGATCCTAGTGGTTAATTGGATGCGTCAATCTGGCGCTGAACGCTATATAGCCCTGCAAATGGCACTTCAATTAGGAACAATGGGACTGTCCGGGGTTTGGGCGAACAGAAAGACAGTCGACGGAACATCAAGCTAAACACAGTGGCGCCCTGTAATTAATTCAGGTTATAAAACATTTGAAATAAATATCCTAAGGGAAGCCAATACTCGTACTACTTGACACAAATAATTGAGAAATGTAATCGGATACAATTTGATGATATTAGAATTACAAATTCAATTACTTGATTGAAACCTAATAATACGAGTACTTTACCGTCAGACCGTGGCCTCACTAAGGCCAAAGTTCACTAGTTTACGTAGAAGTCAATCAATATAGCTGTATCTACTATAATATTTTTTCTTTATAAAACAAGCTTTCTTTATACAAAATCTTCGTCACACCATCTTCCTTTCGAGCGTTTTCCAGGTACCTACCTACTTGATGTTTCATAAGTGATTTTTTTCAGTGATGTGGTTGAGTTACAACCTCAGTGATTCTTAGATTTTATGAACCGTGGTAGGACCGGTCAAGGGTCAGGCGTGGGCTTTAATTAGAACCGACTATTAGGAAAGTGCTTTATCGCCTCATCTCGCAGACGAATGGTAGTTCAATTAGAAGGGTCTACCAATACTCCCAAGCGGGAACTATTCTCGTAGTCAACAATGGACGATTCTTGATTTCTCATTAAACGTTTATTGTTATTGGGGACAATAAGGACAGCATTTCTATTTGACTAGGTATATAAAATAAATAGGTTTTACATGACTGACCTGCGAAGTAATTTAATTATTTTGTTTGAAAGCACTCTAATACTGCGTATTTTGTAATTAAAAGCCCGCATATTGCGATTTTCATCGGGATAGATTCGAATTAATGATAAATTGATGCTGATAGACGTCAATAGGGAATTGAGCAATCCATTAAGGTGTCCCGTTTCAATCTACACAGAAAGGGAATAAATAAGTAATTTTGAAAACAGAAAACTAAAGCACTACTAAGTACATATACTTATCACCATAAAAATAATTGTTGTGTTTCAACAGTTGGGTTACGGAGTTTGAAATTGATTATTCCGAGTGAAGCACGCACTCACCTTCGGCTAGAATCTAGATCATCACTTTCTAATCAGTATGCGAGATATAAAAAATTGTCAAAACTTCTATAATATCACGACAGAACACTTGCGCCAACAGACACCCTTGCTCGTGCGAAGGCGTTGTAATCATCCCCCATAATGTAAGGTAATCTTTAGACAGATGTGCTCGGAATGCACGTTAACCTACCGATAAAATCTTTCATTAGGCATCGCTA